CTCACTGACAGTCTCACTGACAGACTCACTGACAGGCTCACTGACTGACAGTCTCACTGACAGTCTCACAGACTCACTGACAGATTCACTGACAGGCTCACTGACAGGCTCACTGACAGACTGCAGTCTGCCCTACTGCCTACTGACACACTGAACCTTTCATGGTATTTTATGATGACTTTTATTGACCCCCACCTTGTTGTTCCTGGGAGGTTAGTTAAGGGAATTGAACCCAGGACTCTGTGTTCCCAGGCAGGCGTGCTCACCGCTTCACTATGGAACCACCTTATTTTGAACACACCACCATAAAATGTACAATTAATCATTTTTGTCTTTTCCTCTGCAGTGTACACGATGAGTAGTTCCAATAAACTATGATGACTTGACAAGAACTGATTTGTGACGCAACTGCAAATACATAATACCAACATCCAGTAAAAAAGAGAGGGCGGGACATGGACCTCAGAAGGGGAGGAGACACTGATGGAGCCGAGAGCCTGAATTCTCTGATGACGGACGGATGACCGACAGTTTGGTTTGTTCGGTGGACTGTCGTCATGCTCTGTTAGTAAACAATGAACCTGAGTATTAGATAAACAAGAACTTGTTTTTGTTTTGTTTTTTTCGTGTCAGTGATATTACACACAGGGCTAGTAAAACTCAGATCTACTGGCCAAATGGTCATTAAGAAAAAAATGTGATGTTGGACACTGGAGTGGTCAGTATTAGAACTTTGCTAAAAACAGCGTTTGTTTGGATGTCATTGGTCGATATTTTGAAACGATGTCTCAAATCGTTACAGACAAAATGAAGAACAAATCTTCAACCTCGTCCGTTGAGACGTACAAGGAGAGCTTTAGCCAATCCTGGTCGAGACGGAGCAAAAGTCTGGTTTACATTACATTTAGCATTTCCCATGGTTTACACCCTGGACCAGTGAGCAGAAAATCACACTGTCGCGTCAACGTCAAGAAAAACAAACAAACAACGAAAACCCAAAACAACCATTTACAACTGAACTCACAGCTGTTTACATTAAAGTCGACAAACAAGTCACGACGACATAGAGATGTAGAGACGAACTCATGGAGTTGAAGTTCTGCTACAACAATGTTGTCATACTCTGATTTCACACATCTCTGTCTTTGTGTTGAGTAACTATGGTGAGTGCTATCACCAAGAGAGGAATGTCAAGTATGTTAGCTCCGCTCCAGGAACCTTTCCTCTCTCCAACAGCACAGCGTGGCATTTACTGACCGTCAAATGTCAGAATCTTTTTTTTTCTTTGCAGAGGAATAACAAACGAGACGGAGATCGCTGGCCGCCATAAAACTATTAAGACTTTACTGAAATAACCTGAATGTGATGTTGGGGCCTTGACAAGTTCATTAGAGAACTGGGATTCTGCTCCTGTTTTCAGTGTTTGTTGTTCATTTTATCAACAAAGAAAATGCAATTGTTTACACATTAACAGAAGTGTAAGAAAAATATAAAAATGAATAACTAAAGAAATCCAGCTGCTGAAAAAAATCAAATCAAACTTAAATAACCACGTGACACAGTGACCCACTGACACTTGACCTTTGACCTCATCACCATGGCTGCCTTTTGTCCCTCCTGTCTTTACTGCTGCTACATGAACCCCATTACAGAGGGACGTGGGTGACAAACCAACCATAGCTCCGTCAGCACAGGTGGATGAGCACAGGTGGATGAGCACAGCTGCAGCACTTTGGACGGAGTCATGGACCAGATCAGGAGCAAATGTACAAACATGAGAGATTAAAGATGGATGATGATTGGCTGAGCTAAGATTAGTGACAGGACAACGACTGGACAATATTCAACAGTCACTGAACATCAAAGAACCTCTGACACGGGTCCACAGACACTGGCCCACTGACACGTGGTTGTCCACTGGTACTGGTCCTTCTGTTCCAGGGTCCCGTTATATTTATCTCAATAAAAAATGATTAATAGTGATTATTTACCATCACAGTTAATCATGATTCTGATTTCCATCAGCTGCTGATTGATGACACATCCTTCTGTCAGGCCTGAATCACTGGTTCCACCTCAGGGGGTTCATGAGTTCCAGACCCTACAGTACAGATTCTCACCCCCACCCCCTGTTCTGTGGCCTGTCCTCTGGTGTCAGTGCTACACAGAAGGGTTCGTCCTCAGGCGACAGTTATCGGTTGAGCAGCCAGTCGGCCTAGTTTCTGGGATTTCTCACTGCTTTGACCATTCCTTCATTGTTGTTGTTGTTGTTGGGGGAGTCATTGTGTTTGAAACAATGAGACCATGTCAAATGTTCAACACATGTGACGTCAGCACAGGGGGAAAACAAAAACACTGCAGGGAGCCTGACAGACAGACAGACAGACTGACAGACAGACTGACAGACAGACAGACTGACAGACAGTGAGAACACTTACTCTCTTCTTCACTGGCGTGAACAAACAACGCTGCTCTTGACAGAACATCCAATGGCGTCTCCATGCTTGGATGCCTGTAAGACACAGTGGTCGAAACGATTAATAATCATTGATATAACTTAACAAGGATTGTAGTCAACTGTTTAAATAAACCTAGTATGTGCTAACTTTTCATTATGAAATGTGACACCCAAAAAAGACTTTATTACTGCTAGCTTCAACGTCATAATGCTTTAAGACCCAGCTGTACTGCAGAGTACCTGAGAGTACCTGAGAGTACCTGAGAATTCAGACCTTCCTGTGTCTCCTTCATGTTGCACTGCATGTGTTGTAATATTCTGAGCACAATTTCAAGTGAAAAGAACAGTTTGTTCTTAGGATTTCCGTCGTATGCTGCTGGGCTTTGATCACTGGTTCATACAGTGTCCGGTGACGCATTCACTGAAAACAGTACATCACACCTGAAGACTTCATTTCACTGTCAAAATATATGATGGTGCCACGTGTTTGGACTTAACTGACATGAGGGACATGACACACCCCCGAGTCCCCACTCTGTCTTTGTGCCCTCTTGACCCACTTTACTTTAGCATGGTTAGCATGGTTAGCATTCTTGTCCCTGTCCACTCACTATCACTACACTATGACAGGTATTTAACAATAAATAAATAAAAACTCTGCAGCGTGCTTCTCCTCCTCCTCCTCTCTTTCTACATTCCTAAGGTGCGTGCGCATGCATACACACGCACACACACGCACGCACAGTGGAGCAGTGTGCAGAGGAACTGCGCCAAAGTTGTGTTGGCCGAAGTGAAACCAATGGATGAACAAGTGTTCCGTCCACGTTCAGACGTGAACACAGTATTTCTGTCGGACTCGTGGAGGAACTCCTACCACACTGGGACAACAACATGTCGAGGAAGGAAAGCATGTGGCCGAAAGGAGGAGGAGGAGGAAGAAGAGCATGAGGAGGAGGGGGAGTCTGACATTAGAAAGTTTGGAAAACCGCCACCAGCTTTTATTTATAATGAACTTAAATGAAAGTTCAGCCCAGCAGAAGGCGCCACTCGAACCAACAACTCCGTGTCGAGCGTCTCCTCGGAAACACTCATACTCAAAGCTCATACTCACTCCTTTTAGCGCCACCTTGTTGTCCTCCAGTCTGGTGGTGTCCACACACAGAAAACCAAAAGTGGACCGGAAAAACAAAACAAACAAACAACTGGTTGATAGTCCGCGGCTGAAGAGTGTGGTGCGAAGACGACGTAAGACGACAGTATCAGAGCCGCCGGACAAACTTAGGTTGTAAACGAGGAGGAAGGAGTGAAGGAGGGAGGAGGAGGGAAGGAATGCCTGGAATGATGGAATTCAGTTCCTAGCAGGTGGTGAAAGTGAAGGGCGCTGATTGGTGGAAGACCAGAGGCGTGACATCAGAATGTATTATGATAATTGAGCCATTCGTCACATCCGGTAAAGGTGAGGTCGCTGCAGTCACTGTTGTGAAGTAGCTAAAGACAGTGCTAAGAAAAACAGAAACTGGCAAATGCTAATTTACCCCAAAACAATACACGAATAACAAACATAAACATGGATGAAATATTCAAGAGAAAAGTGAAGGCTTTACAACCGTGTAGATAAAACATAGCTACAAGTCGGATTATACTGTCACCAACGTTATAAAACTACTGTATATCACAGATATATATATAAAAAAATCAATGTTTTCATCGTCCTTCATAAATGTATTATTAACCATGAACAGGTTATCACGGTTTCTGTTGTGAAGTAACTGAGGAAACAAAGCTGACAACGTTTTCTTTTTGATGTCAAACGTCTTAAAATCAAACAACGCAGCAAAGACAAGGTCAATTTTATATTGAGGTAAATAAAACATTGAAACAAAAAAGAGGTTTCTGAGAAGTTGTTTTTTTATCTTTCAGTCAACAGAAACAGACACTGGATCTTTTTGTGATGTGAGATGACACTTGTTCTTATTAAAACCAAACACTCTAACACACCCAGCTGCTCCTTTTTTTTTTAGAAATCTCCAAAGAGAACTAACCAGAATAAGTTATTGTCACACTCCATTAAAAACAGTTGTGTCCATTCAGCAGAACCACGTCGTGTGTGTGTGTGTGTGTGGTCTGTACTGCATTATTCTAGAATGTCAGCCATGACTCAGTGTCAATGATAAAATGTCAGATGCCCTCCCCCTCCTGCCCCCGCCCAGCCCAGCAGCAGCCTGGGACATCTTCCACCACTTAATGTCTCCTGTTGACACTGATGACACGGTCATGGTGAAAGTCAAAGATTCTGGGGTCTTCTTCTTCTTCTTCCTCCTCCTCCTCCCAGTAAAGGAGGTGAGGTTCAGGTGTGGGACACCCATGGCTTCCTCCTCCAGCCTTTCCACATTTTAAATAGTTTTTTGGAGCTGTATGACACTGTTTTCCACAAACCTGAATGGTCCAAAAGAACACAGCTTTACACACTCAGAAAGATTTAGATCTATTTCTACAATAACTATGAACAATAATGAAATATCCACATTAGAAACATGAAAGCATCGAGTTTGTAAAACTTTACAACTGATTTAGTTTTGACTCAATTTTAGTAGACAAATTATTATAATATGATGTAATATTAATTAATATTAATTAACTATATTAATTATTAATTATTTATTATTAACTTTAATAAAAAAGGAACTTAGAACAGAATCTTAGATATGATAAAAAAATAAACAAAAACAACCAAGGATTCTAGCAAGTGAAAGAGTTTTTACCTGCTGTAGCGATGCCTTTCACACTCTGTGTTATACTGGAGGACTTTACAATAGAGGAGATACCTGAGGGCGGGGAGAGGAAGGGTGAAACAGGCAGCAGCAACAACAACAACAACAACAACAACGTCTATTCTTTTAATACACTAACACCATCAGTGACCATCAATCAGTTTCCAGACCAACGGTTCTGTCTACGTACTGTACAGCAGTGACTCATGGGAAGTCTGACAGAGATGAAATGACATTTCTGTTTGATGGAGCGTTCCTTTTTTATTTGACCCTCTGTTCATTCTCCCTCTACCTTGCTGCACGACAGCGCCACAGTCTGGGTCCTGAGCCACCTGCAGCAGGATCTCCTCCACATCTCTGTTCTTGCCTGGGGGGTCGACCAGCCTGGTAATGCTTTGCTGCAGAGTACGTGGCAGAGTCATCAGTTGGACAAACTGGCCTTCTGGACTTTTGTCCACCTGCAGGTGAACAACAGAAAAGACTTTGTTGAATCACATGTGTATAAAATGTTATCTTGCAGTATCCTAGTAGTAGTAGTAGTAGTAGTAGTGCTGTAGTGTACTGTAGCACCTGAGTATTACGGGTGTACATTGTTCTGCTGGTGTCTTCACTGTGTCTTACCTCCAGTTTTGCTTGCTGTGATTTGTAGACCACCAGGGGGCAGTCGTGCAGGATGTTACTGTACAGAGTTTTAAAGTGCTGCATGTTGTCTCTGACAATATTAGACACTTTGGATCTGTCTTCTCCAAACACCATCCGAAAATCCCCTGCACAGAAAGTGATAAAAGAACAATGAAGCCATCGTGCACTTAGAATATTATTAATCTTAAACTGAATTTGTTTCACAGATGATTTAGAACCATGCTGACAGTGACATAGTGTGTATGTCTTTTGGTGATTGTTTTGTTTGTGTAGTGGATTATTTACCAGCATAAGAGAGGCCAGCTATCTGCAGGAAAAGCTCTTCTTCAGTGAAGCTCTCTGGCAACATGAGGAAGGAGGCCGTGACGGCACTTTTCAGGTTGGACACTAAAGCTGCCCGCAAACTTCCATTCTCACTCTGCACAAGCATTTTCACCTGCACAGAAGAAACAGTTCCTGCACAGGTGAACACAATAGGAAAGTGAATTTCTGGTCACTGCACACCATTTTTTAAAGTGGATTCATCAGTACACAGAGCATACTCACTGGTTTGTGAAGACGCCCTGCAACATACAGAGTGTTCCAGTGCATGAGGTCATCCATCAACGACTGTGTACTGATCACACCATATTTAATAGTCTGGGATGAAGAACAGAACACAAACCAACGTGAACTCATCTGTTTACAGTGGTAACTTCTCACAAAATCAAGGTGTCATAAAAACCTCATTCATTTACCCTGCCATCCACAGGCACCAATGTGTTATAATATACTGCCGCCCCGTGGTCACTCTGTATGGAGCTGATCGTCTTAGGACCCAGCAGCTTGAGGATGGAGTAGTGTTTCCGGTTCTGGAGCAGATTCATGGTGTGCCAGGTCACAGGATCATCCACCGCAAACACAAAGTCCAGCATGTTTTTCTGTACCGATGTTCAGAACATTACACGTCATTTAATAGCTACCATAGTGATGTTGATATCTGTCAACCTGTGTTTATGGACTCGACGCTGAACGTTTTACAACATCACAAAGGACGAATCAGTTCGTGTTTCTTACTTAACTTTGAGGAACGTAGCTTCGGACAACTTAGCAACTTTTAATGGTCGTTAAATGACCTTGACTTGGTAAATGACTGTTCATCACAGCTGTTAAAAGTCATGCACACTTGCTCCTTGTCAGAAATGCTGCTTTCCGCCAGGAGAACGACAGGCAGCCGGCTGTCCCTCACCTCCATTTGTCCTTGGCTGCTCCCGTGATGTTTGAAAACACCAGATCCGTAGGCAAAAGCTAAAGTGATGTCCTGAGGGAAGTGAGAGAGAATCCTCCGGTAAAGAACTCCAGTGTTGTGCAGAGCCGGGACGGTCATGTTGAACTAAGACCTACGTTCTTCAGCAGCAACAGCGCCCGCTTCACAAACAAGGTAACACGGTAAACAAAGTTTTAAATGACGTCACAGTAACTGAACCTGATAACTATTAACCATAAAAATAAAACACCTGCGGTCGTGACTCCGGTCTTAGCATGTTGGTTCAGTTTAGACGTTTGGCTGTCGACTAAAAATTACGTCACTGTTTTCGTCGCAAGCGCTGGATCCTGGGAAATTGAGTTAAAGTTGAAGACAGTACAGCGATAACTTTACCCACGCTGTCAGTCACCAGGATCCGTCAAGGTATTTCTGTACATTTTTAAAGGATTATAGTTCAAATCTTTGTTCTCGTTGGATGTTGTCCTTCAACCCTGTGCTGGTTTTGACGTCATCGTCTTCTATTGACGTCATCGTCTTCTATTGACACTGACCTTTAAAACTACAGGTCTATGCAGCGGTAGGAATGGTGAGTTGGGAAATGTAACCACTAGATGTTGCTAGAGATCCTTCCGTAAAATGGAAGCCAAAAAGCACAGATTTATCTATCACAGTAGGGTCGACCTATCACTGAGTACTGAGTACTGTACTGAGTATTGAGTACTGTACTGAGTACTGAGTACTGTACTGTACTGAATTGTTGTGTAAAACCCACATTTAGTTTCTATGCAGATGATGCACAGCTGTACATTTATGTGTTAATAATCATTTGAATTCTACACAGTATCACCTCATCATAATGGTTACCTGGCCAGAAGAGAAAATCACGTGGTGTCAGGTTCACCACTGAAGGACCGAGGTTATTTTACACTGAACTTATGGTTTACAAACAGAAAATATATTTTTTATTTTTTTTTTTTTTTTTTTTTTTGCCTCCAATGCAGTAAAATTATGATACAGTAAAATTATGATAAAAGTCAAGATTTCGTTTTACTTTTTTTCCCACACTAAAAACCTGCCGTTTGTTTGTGTTGTGTGTTTTCATGCTGAGGTCAGAGGTCGGCTGTGACGTCTTCTCCTGTACGTACGCCCACCTCCGTACGAATCTGTGGTGGTCGTCACCTTTGCCTTTTCTCTGGTTTGTTTTTATTTGACTTGTTTTGCAGCCGTTGCTCTGCACTGTGCTTGAATCTGAACTTTAGGATGTACAGCTTCCATCTTCAAAGAAAATTAAATCATGAGAAGAAATAAGAATGACAACCTGCTGTAAGTCTCTTTATTGACAGTCACATGGTTCAGAGCAGTCCTTCTGGGACCAGGTGACCAGCTGGGTTACACCCTGGAAAACAATGTCCGATATATTCAACGGTTTGATATAAACATCTGGACCACGAGTCGTCGATTAACGTTAGCTGAATGCGAACGTGAAGCCGTTTCCACCGAGTCGTTTGATGCAGTGAAGATACGTCCGATAAATAAAAATGAAACGTTCAGGTCTGAGAAAAGGAAGTGGTCCAGAAATCTGAGCTCACTGATGATAACGATATTAGATTTCTTTAATTAGAGTTTCTTTTTTGTGGTTAGCTCAAATATTTACAACATCTTCATCTGTACATCAGCACTGACAGACAACTGTTTCTGGGACAGACACAAATGTAGAAAAAGAGAACTCACACTTTGTAAACCAGTTCAGGTCAAAGGTCACTTTGGTGACTTGTGTCCAGCTGTGGAACAGTTCTCCTCAGGGATCCTACAACATCCTACAGCTTAAAAAAAGGATCCACAGGATGAGGTCCAGGTCCAGGTCCAGGTCCAGGTCCAGGTCCAGGTCCAGGTCCAGGTCCAGGTCCAGGTCCAGGTCCTTCAGCAACGCCCTTACAGCAGGCTGAAACTGCTATAATAAGTTGTTGTGCTGTGAGTCTCCTCTGCTGCTCCCGTGGGTGAGGCGTGGAAGTCCATCTGCAGAAGAAGACACACAAACAAAGAGTTGAGTCCACATCTACACACACACACACACACACACACACAGATTTATGTTTCATCAGGAAATGCAGTGTCTGCAGTTCAGGTGGAGGTGGCGCTGCAGTCGGCCCTGAAACTCATCACTGATTCTGGTTTCACGGTGTCAGCTGAAACGCTGCCTCGGTCAGCACAGGCTGTCCGTCACCTGAGGACGAGCAGCGGACGTGTGATGAAGAGCCCCACCTTCCTGACAGGACAGGCCCATCCGACCGTGCGTGCAGCTGCAGCGGCCGTTGCGTCGGTCACACTGCGCTCCGTTCTGACACTGGCAGGTCTCGCTGCAGTCCGGTCCAAAATGATCAGCTCTGCAGTCTGGGAAAAAAAAGCATTCGTTTTGTGAATCAGTGTGGGTCTAGATCAGACCTGGACCCTGTAGTCTGTAGACCACATCCAGAACTCTGACCGTCCTAATAAGTTTGTTTTTTAGTATCTGGAATAGACGTTAACAATCATCAAAATAACGACCTTGACCTAAACACTTCAAACAGAATCTTTCTAATCCTAATCTAATCCTGCAGGTTTCTAAACTGGAGAAGAGCAGGAATCAAACCAACAACATGATTCTGTTGGAGCCTATTCCTGGAGCCAATCACATGAAAACCATGAAGCAGCAGAAGTCACATCATTGGTCAGAAGGATTTTATGTATCGCTTCAGTATCACAACCTTATGAAGTTTTTAAATGACTGTAATAACTGTTTTATTACTTCAGAGCCTAATTCTACTGAAGCATAATTATTAAAAAAATCCACACATTTAGTTTGGTATTCTGACGAAAAATATACATATTCTACGGCTCTGACAGAAATCCATGTTAAAACCTGTGTTTTTTTTGGCTCTCTCTGCTGAAAAGGTTCCCGACCCCTGGTCTAATCTGACCTTTGAACTTGTTTGGATTACCAAGTCAGTGATGTTTCAAAGGAACTAAAGGTTGTTTTTCCTCCCACAGATTTGAACTCAAGTCCACCGTGGTTCCACGTGGAGATCATTACCAGTGTCACATCTGGGTCCGGTTTTCCCAGAGGAGCAGAGGCAACTTCCTGTCACTGCGTCACACGGAGCGTCGTCCTCACAGTCACACACCTCGGAGCAGCCCTGACCAAAAGTGCCCTGTTCACACACTGTGAAGAGGAATGTGTTAGACACGTGTGTGTGTGTGTGTGTCACTGGTCAGGGCTGTGACCTCTGACCTCTGTGGCAGCGAGCCCCATAATATCCTGGAGGACAGAGACAGCGGCCGGTCACAGGCTGACAGGAGGCCGAGTTCATGCAGTCACAGTGGAGCTGACACAGTGGACCGTAGAGA